AAACAGAAAGCAATAATGAAGAGAAATCAATACAGTGAAAAACAGAGAAAATGAATAAAAGAAAGAGCTGGTTCTTTAAAAAAAAAACGAGCCATAAAAATCTCAAGCATCTAAAAGAATGATAAAGAAAAAAGAGAAAAGATAGAAATTACTAATATCAAGAATGAAACAGGAAACATCACCATAGACTACAGATCCTGCAGATATCAAAAAGATCTAAAGGAAAAACTACGACCAGTTGTTAATATATAAATTTAACAATTTGGATGAAATGAATCAATTTCTAAAAAAAAAAACTCAGATTACCTCAGTTTATCCAATAGGAACTAGATAATTTAAATAGCCCAATAACCATCAGGGAAATGAATTTGTAATTTAACTCTCCCTGAAAAGAAAGCTCCAGTCCCGAGTGGTTTCAAGGGAGAATTCTACCAAATACTTAAAGGAAAATTAACATTAACTTTATACAATCTTTTCTAAAAAATAGAAGAGAGAACACTTTCTAATTAATTTTATGAAGCTATTATTACCCTGATATCAAAAGCAGACAAGCATAGTATACACACAAACGAAAGAAAGAAAACTAAGATCAATATCCCTCATGAATACAGATGCAAAGTTACTTTAAATATCAGCAAATATAACTTAATAATATATTAAAAGAATTATTCACTGAATAATTCATTTTTTTCTGGGGGTACAAAGCTGGTTCAATATTTGAAAATTAATCAAGGTAATCTATTATATTAACAGGCTAAAGAAGAAAAAAATTCACATTATCATATCAGTTGATGCAAAAAAGAATGTTTGATGATTTTCAACATTCATTCATGACAAAAACATTTAGAAAAAGTAAGAATAGAGGGGACATCCTCAATTTGATAAAGAGCATCTACAAAGATTCTATAGTTAATGTTATATTCCATGGTGAAAGACAATGTTTTACTCCTAAGATCAGAAACAAGGCAAGGATATCTGCTGTCACTGCTATTACTAAACATAGTGCTAGAAGGCATAGTGTTAGAAGGCATAGTGATAGAAGGCAAGAACTGAAATAAAAAGCAGACATGTTGGAAAGGAAGAAATAAATCTGTATTTGTAGATGACATGATAGTCTATGTGTAAACTATCAAGAAATCTACCAGAAAAAAAAAAAAAAACCTCAGAGAGCTAAAAAATGAGCTCATCAGAGTCACAAGATACAACATAAACGTATAGTAATCACTTGAGTTTCTATACACTAGTAATGAGCACTAAATTAAAAATACAATAACATTTATAATCTCATAAAAATACAAATAGGTGTAAATCTAACAAAATATGTAGAGATCTGTGTGCTGAAAACCACAAAATGCTGATTAAAAAAATCAAAGATCTAAATAAAAGGAGATACATGTAACGTTAGCAAAACGAATAATCAATTTACTAATTATCGATATAGTAATAGTTCTCCCTAAATTGGTACACAGGTTTAATGTAATGCCTATCAAAATCAGTGAAATTTTCTTTAGATATAGAGACACAGACAGTATTCTAAAATATATGTATATTTTATATATATAAACATATATATAAATTGTTTTAACTAAAACAATTTTTATAAAGAATAATAATGTGAGAGGAAATAGTTTACTTAAAGTCTCATTGTAAAACTTTAGTAATCAAGACAGAGGTGAAAAGATAGATCGATGAAACAGATTAAAGAACCCAGAAATAGGTTCATGCCTATGTGTTTAACTGGTTTGGGGGAGCTGAGTATGCCCATAAATGGGCAACATGGAGAATCCATGTGGTGATGTGAGTAGCTGAACCTTTACTGCATTAATGTCAGTATCCTGGTTGTGATAATTTTATAGGATGTTATCATCGGAGAGAACTGGGTAAATGGTCCACAGGATCTATCTCTATTATTTCTGACAACTGTTTGTGAATCTGCAATTGTCTCAAAATTAAAACTTTAATTAAAAAAATATTTAAAGGTGATGAGTACAGGTTATATAGAAACATATTATTTATTTAGATTTTTAAATTACGTTTAACAAAGCCAGTGTGAAACTTCATTGGATTGAAGAAATTATCATGGTTAAAAGACCAAATTTGGAGTCAGATTGTATTTTATCTTTAAAATGAAAAAACAACAACATTTCATATGTGTGTATAGTGGGCACGTATTTCTCAGCTCTGCCCATTGAAAAGTCCTAGAAACATTGACTAACCTGATAATAATATGCTATTTTGCACCTCTATGGTCAGATGGTGGTCTCTAATTTCAGTTTTTCACTAAAATATGCAAAGACTCTTTGAGGAAATACTTGATTCCATATTTGGGACCAGGAGGGAAAAAACATTATTTAGAACCATGTGTTGACATTCCACTAATGCCAATTTCATGTAACACATTCTCAGTCATTTGCATTATTATATTATTTATTATATTATTATATAATAAAGTAAGCTATTTTGGGTACTGTCTAATACTTGTGTTGAACTTTCAACTCAAATCCTGTCAATACTGATGTCGTCCATATCTTATGAATAGGGCCAGAAGCTCTAAAACTTATACGACCCTTGCAAAATATTATTTAACACATGAAGAAAGACTCAAAGAACTAAAGTAGTTTGTCTGTTATCACAAAAAATTTAAGATCACCTGCTTCATGATTTTTAAGTTTTATACAAAGTAAAATTGTTTTGCTAAACTTTATACTTCCTACAAGCATCAAACTGCCCTCATTGAATGTTTGCACTTGTATGTGTGTGTTAAACATCTTTTTCTAGATAACTTGGCCAGATGGAGTCACCAAATGCGAAGTTCTGAACTTTAGTTTTAATGGTCGACCTTCAGCTTTTTCTCTGTATATCCAAGTACAATCAGGGTGCCATTTATGAGAACTTTCTGAAGCACAGGGTTTGTATAATGAAAGACTCATCAGCATAATCTTCAATTTAAAAGAATAGCACAATGTTACGCTGTATTGGGCCACAAGATAACAAAATCTTTTTGTTCATTTCACCAAATATTTACTGAATGTGTCTAATGGACAAGAAATTTGGCTAGATGCTGCAGGGAGACAAAGCTGAACATACCCAAATCCCTGCCATCAAGGTCCAGTAGGAATTTTACTGCAGGAGTTAGGAATGGCCATCACAAAGCAGGACCATAACAGGAGCAAAGACAGACAAGAAGGTATTTAGAGAAAATCAAGTAGTCCAAAGGGGTGTGTGTGTGTGTGTGTGTGTGTGTGTAATTCAGAATCATCAGATTCCCATGAAAAGAACAGATTAGAATTATAATAGAATTATAAATTGAAGCCATATAGAGAACTCTTCACTGTAGGATCAGCTCTGGGACATTAAATGACTTGCCAAAATTCACATAGATTCAAAGTAGCTTAGAAGGAAGTGTTCTGACTTCTGTGGTTTCACTTGGCACTGTTGTCCCTAATTTAGGAAGGCATAGAGAAGACAAATCTCCAGATTAAGATTTCTCTACCCCAGTACTATGGACATTTGGGGCAGGTAATTCTCCATTGCGAGCTGTGCAGTACACTGTAGGATGTTTAGTAGCATCCCTATCCACCCAGCCCCTCAGCTGTGACAAAAACAGATGTCTCCAGTCATTGACAAGTTGTCCCCTGGGGTCACCATCACCCTGGTTGAGAACTACTACTCTAGATAACATAAAAATTGTTCATATTCAACAACATATAATATGTGACAAAATATATAGCTTACATTTTAATATTGATAAACCATGTTCTGGTGCAAGAGCAAACTGGATAATTAGGTAATGATTTAAGAGTCTCTGAAAGTTGTTTAGTTTTTTTGGCATTGCCTCAGGTCAACCAGTCTTCTGATCCAAATTCATATTGGAAAAATCTGAGAATCCGCAGGATGTCTTGGGAATTCTGTGCCATTTAGGCTCTCTCGACAATAAGAATAAAACCTCAATAAGATTTTATTGTAAGGATGACTTGGTCAGGCACTGGAATTTAAAAGCTATTTGGGAAGCAAGGCTCCTTGGAGGATATCTGGCCTTTTTCTAGCCACATACCCTCTTTCTCATGGATTCTTTCTCTGTCTAGTCCCCTCTTGCTGCAGATAAGATAGTTGTCTCTGGGATGTCTGTTTAAAATTCCCAAAGGAGTGGATGATTATTGCCTATTTGGTCTAACCACCCATACACCCTCATGGGGGATGTGATGTGAAGATATGGTATTCATTGGTCAGCGGCCTCCCTTGGTTCAATCTTAACCCACCCAGAGCAAAGGGCAGCTTGTTACACCTGACCGTGATACCCTGCCCAACGTGTTTCCCCAAGAAGCAGAAGCAGCCTTTGAAAATGATAAGTCTTATGACTGATCTGACTACTCAGGATCACACTGAAGTTCACTCTTAGCTGAGATAGGGAGAGGCAATAAAACCATGTCTCTTTTCAAATATGAGATCTCCCAGGCCAGACTGGAATACCCATAAAAGCAGACAATGAAGTCGTTTAAGTGTATTCATAAGTAAAGTATGGTGAAGAAAATTGTCCTTTGAATAATCCAGAATTAATTGTTTCTCATGTTTTCTTCATTTTAAAGACTTCAGATTAATGGTTTTGATGATCTAAAAGAACCCTTTTTAATAGAGACCATTAAATTTATCAAACCGAAATCACACTTCTTTCCCAAGGTGTCATGAAGTCTTTCTACTTGGTTTAGTGAGTTTTCTGAGCAGGTTAGAGTTCTTAAGAATAAAAACTACGTGAATATGAATCACTAAACTCACGATCAGAGGAGATCCAATTAGAACAGGAGAGATGTCTCTTGTTTAATGTGCAGAATGAGAGCACGCAGGTGAAAGCGTTGGACTTGCATGTAACGTGAACTCTAAGACCTAAAGACGCTTCTCTTATGAATAATTTAAAACTTCCCCTGAGTCAGGTTCCTTTAAAAGAAATTATTTTTGTGGTCGTGTTTCATCATTAATAATCATGCTATTTTCTTTTCTTATAGGTAATGTATGAAATTGTTGGAGCAATTGAAAAAAATAAAGATTCCCTTTCACAGAATCTTCTATTTGTAATGAAAAGTAAGTTTTCCCCTCCTATGGTTAAAATGCCACACATTATTTCTCTGAACATTGTCCTATAAAATATGCCACCAGCTAAAGAATAATTGAAATATCTTTTACATTATAATGCCCAGTATAATAAAGAATGGATCTTTCCACACTATATATTGGTTACAATTTAATTTGGAGCCTCGTAGAAACCATAATTTAACTAAGCTTTTAGTAGATAGAAATATAAAGCACCTTTAACTCTCTAGTGTTATGAATATAAAAAAGCTCTTCTGTGAAGACTAATGAAGATGAATATGACTTCCAAAGTTATTTAGGCCACAGCAGGGTGAGTGCCATTACTTAAGATGACTCCGGAGCACACCTAAGGGTGGTATTTTATTCTTATGTATTTCATATAAAGAACTAATGCTCACAAAGTAGGATGAGTATACAAATTTATATATACACATATATATGCGTATATGTATATATCGACATCAATTTATAGCTTCCATCTACTTAGTGAATCTTAGTTATATATATAACTATAATTCTATACTTTTTATAAAACTATATACATTTATATATAGTATAATTATATATGCCGATATATATATATATATATAATTCTATATCTCTAGTAATTATTTTGTTAATAGCAGTTCTGCAGTGATTTACATTTTCTTAATAACCTTTTCAATGAATTAAAACATATTATCTTTTATGCTTTAAGTTGCTCTAAATGAGATAGAGTCATTTATCTTTCCTGGGGAAACAAGCATATGATAGCTTTTAAGGAAATGGTTTGATGCCTTTGAGTTGGAAATAAGACATCTGCATAACTTCGGGTTTGAGGAACATATTTACCTTAAATCAAGCAGCACAGTTTCAATATATTGTTTTTAACCAGAAATTATATTGCTCGCCTCTCAGAATTTTGGATTTTTGTCAGTTTTCTTAAAGGCTGAGACTAATGACAAAAGTATTACATAGACAGAAAGAATTGAAATAATTGATCTTATTGATTATCACTGGAAAGATCTTGCTTCTAGTTTTCAACTATTTGAACTTTCATTTATAATGTACTTCCATTAAAGCTATGTATTTTATTAAAATAATATATAGCGTGTTTTCAAGTTGATATAACGCCTTTTTTGTTATTTTTGTAATTTATGGTGATAGAATACACATTTAGAATGAGAATATGATAGCTAGTGATAGTGCAATTGTGCTTATTTTAATAGACTTCCTATATTTTAAAGTCATTCTTTTGTGTACACTTGCTAACAAATTCCAAGAGAAAAACAAGTGAACCTTGTTTTAGTCTAAACACTTTAGGCTATAAGCACATTGAGCAACAAGACAGAATTTAGTGTGCCATTCATTATATGTTTATGCAGGACATGGCACACATTTTCTGTAGAGGGCCACAGAATAAATACTTCAGGATTTGTGAGCCATCAGATCTCTGTTGCAGTGACTGAGCTCTGCTGTTACAAGGAGAAAGCAGCCCTAGATAATACAAATGGACATGGCTGTGTTCCAATGAAACTTTATTTACAAAAACAGGCAGTGGAACTGACTTGGCCCATGGACAATAGTTGCTCACCCATTCTATCATATAAACAAAAGATGCATGGTTGTGATAGTATTTTATGAATCTGGAATGTTTTGATGCCATAAATAGTTATTAAAAAGTGTAATTTATAGATAGTAATCATTTATATTTCCAAGTATAATTTGGAAATATTCTTCGAATACAGCATCTAATTCAATCATCATATCATAAAAAAGCTCCCAGTTGAGGAAGGAGGTAGGGTCTGTTGTAAGATCCATACAAATATAGCTATGTCTATGAGATACCTGACCAAGTACAGGCAGGTAGCTCGGAGGTACAGCTCTTGCAGACATGCAGCAAGTGCTCTCATTTGTGCCTGAGATTAGAAATAAAGTCTACTTATAAGAATAGGGAAATTTGCAATTACTGTCAATAATGCTGTTAATGATTATTCGGTCTTTTTGTCTCTAGTGTTTCTGCATACCTGCTTATAAACCATAGGCGTTTACATTAGCTTATCCCATTTTACTGACAGAAAGATACCCAATGTCATGTTTTTAGACTCCAGTGAGGAATACTTCCCATTTCATTCTGTACTATATAGAGTGATACGAAGAAAATGGCCTGAAGTAAATGACCCTTTGTAATAGGAAAGAAAGGCTAAAACTGTCTCTTCACCAGAGCTTTCTTTATCAGGTTCTAAGACTCAAAATGATGGCAGAATTTCTCTTTTTATGTCCTGAGAAATCTCTTCTCACCTCTCATTTGGTCAGCTTGTGGTCAGGACTCTAATGTTAGCATCCCAATGCACAATGGTATCTTTCTATGTCAGTAGGCTAATACTAGTACTACTGGCCATGTGACTCAGAGAAAGAGACAAACTGGTCAATTACATGTTTTGGTCCATATTTATGTCTAGTGTTGATAGATTGTGAAAGGCTTTTTTGCCCCAATTATACAAATAACATACTGCAATATTTATCTGCGCTTCCATACATACATAGACTTGCTATAAATGTAATTTTAGATATTTAAATGGCCCATGGTAACATATATTTATTGTTTAAATTTATTTTGAAATAATTTTAAAGTTACAAAATTAGTACAAAGAACTCTCACATGCTCTGATCCGAGATTCATTTTTTTCATTTTTTTCCTCTCCTGTTCTTCTTCTCTTACTCTCTCCTCGCTTCCTTTCTTCCCTCCTTCTTTCCTTTCTTGCTTCCTTCTCTCTCTCTCTCTCTCCCTCTCTCTCTCCCTCTCTCTCTCTCTCTCTCTCTCTTTTACATATATTTTCTGAACCATTTGAGAATAAGTCATATGTGTCTTTATAGCTAAATAGTTAGGTATATATTTTAAAATCAAGGATATTATCTAACACCAGTAAATTGTCAAAATATTTAACATCGATAACGATAAGAATGTCTAAATCAGAGTCCCTATAAAACTTTAGCATTTAATTTTGATCATTTTTTTAAGGTGGCATCCTTCAGATTTTTCTAATCAGAAGTTGCTGTTTTTCTTTGATAAGTAATTTATAAGGAAGTACTTTGAGACAATGTAAATATTCTCTTCCTCACAAAAATTTTACCTGTTAAGTTTTGCATAAATGAATGATTCTTATGTGAATTAATTATTTCTCTTATGGTTGCAAAATGTGATTTTCTAACCCCATTCTTCCATTATTAGTAATAATCTACTGTAAGAACTCCTCTTTCTAACTAATTATCAGTATATACTCATGAATTCTTCTTGTTTTTTTTTAACCTGTCTCTTTTTAAAAATTTATTGATATAATATATTGATTGATAACACCATATAAATTTCAAATGCACAACATTATAATTTGGTATCTATATTTTATGGGATGCTCACCACCAAAAGTTTAGTTTATTCTGTTACCATACATTCGATACCCTTATTTTATTCAATGACTCATAATACATTACTATCATTATTTTGATGCTGGAATTGCCCAAGACGTGGCTAGTGAGACTCCTTAAAGCTAGCTTCTGTGTCCTTTTGTCAGGTTCTCATGATCTCTTTTAGCGCTTCCTTGCATTTTGGCTTTCCAAGATGTTCTGGAATTATTTACTTTGCCTCAGATCTAGAACCATCCATGTGTCCAAGAAGCCTTGATTTATTTTCAGGAGAGTAGTATTATTAAACACTAAGGTCTAGGGGCTGGGTGAGCTCATTTGTACTAGGGTGTCATGGCTTTTTGGCCCTTTCAGAACTACAAAATTTAAGATCTAGAAATAGATAATGTGTAGATATGTAGCTATGTATTAAGTGTCATGAATTTACGCTGATACCTATAATTTCAGTCCAACACCACAGGGCTCCTTTTTGCCTTCTTGTATTCCATCATTGTGTCTCCCTTCTGTGACACGCCTCCCTAGTTCCCCATTGATTTATTAATGTCATGACTTTGCATTGAGTGCATTGCTAATAAATGTATTAGATTGGGCAAGCAAAATAATTTGGATGTGGAAAAGGTAGAAACTAAACTGCTTTACTACTAAACATTGCTAACTGTCTGATGGGCTAAGCATGATCTTAAATGAGTTATGTATATTCACATTTTAATCTTGTAGTAATCCTCAAAGTAGATATGACCATAATCATTTTATAGAAAAAGATAGTAAGGCTTAAAAACTGTCTGCATCTAGATCTAGGTGACACAAGAAAAATGCCCTTTAGATCCTTAAACACCATATATAATTTTCACTATGCTATTTAAATTTGTTATCAAAAATCCATTCATCATGGCTCCAGTTTCTTTCTGAGGTGTCAAGAAAGGAGTGTGGGCCCAGAACTTGTATAACCTAACGTCTAATATATGTCAGCTTGCTTTTACCTTTGCAACTTAACGGGATCAGAAAAAGAGGCACTTTTTTCACCTAACAACTGATAGAACCAAATGAGACAGGGTCTCTACGTATAACCTGAGACAGATTAGATCTTGGGGAAATGTGTTTCTGGGTAGTTATTTTCCTGGAATGGGGAGTTACTGACGGAATCCGTATCTTCATGATTTGGTCAAGTGCACTGAAGCCCCTTAAGTCTGAGCAGGTAAGACTCTGTTCCAACAGCTAGGAGAGTAGTAAGTGACACTTAATTAGATAGCAAAGGGCCGAGTGCTCAGGCAGAGGATCAAGACTCCTGGCCAAGGGCAAGGAAGGTCAAAAGTCATCAAGTGGAATGATTAATAGTAGGGAAAATAAAATAGGGGCAAAAGGAAGGATAGGATTCTCAATTATATCTTTCACTCAGAATGTTTTAGTGTTAAGGCATTTGGATGAGGAATAAGTTTAATGTAAATAATGCTTTTAATGCCACTTATGATATTCATTTATTTATTTTCTAGCTAGTGAAAATGTCGTGATCAATCATTTGTTCCAGTCGAAACTGTCACAAACAGGATCCCTTCTGTCTTTGCATCCTTTTAAATTCAGAGGACATAAATCTGCCCTGCTCAGTAAGAAAATAACAGCTTCTTCATTTATCGGAGAAAACAGGAATTATCTAGAACTTAGTAAGGTAGGAATTTTTGTGATTCTTGTTTGTTTGTTTTTAAGTTTGTTTAGAACATTTGCTTCTTTTTAAAAACACAATTCGAAATGCCAATGGAAATAAATTGACATTTTAATTTTTTTTAATTAGAAAAGTTTTTTAAAAGAAAAGTTTGCCTACCTAAAGTATAACCATGAGAGGGAACAATATAGTAAAATATCTTCTAGTGAAAATTCAGTAGCTAATGCAGTATTAATAATGGTATTGGTTGTCTGTACAACATCCTATTTATGTTTCATCTCTATGACTGTCTTTGAGATGAATAGGAAGTAACTTCAGGGATAGTAGGCTTAGAAGGAATTAACTTAACTACCCTATTTTGTTGACATTAATCACTTTAGAAGTTTTCGATCTCTAAAGAATAAATTGTAGTTTCTTACAGATGTAGTGTATTTTTCAGGTGCTAGAAGGTTTTTGCTTTGTTTTTGTTTTGTTTTGTTTTGTTTGTAGAGTGTTAACTTATTTTTTATTATACTATTTTATAATGTATATTCGTCCCACACAAGTGTGGTTACACTTACAACCTAACAGTTCTGTTTGTGAAATAAACCTAAAAATTTAGTAAAGAGTTCTTTCAAATTGAAATATTTTAAGTTTAAAAATTCAGTGCCTTATTGTAGCCCAGTTTGTTTTGCTTGCATCTACCAAAATCATAAAAGATGAGAAATATGATTGGGAAAGTGTCCAGGACAATCATTTTTACATACTCAGTTGTAGCTTACTAAAATGCATTTTAGTTTACCAATAAAAATAAAAGCATAATTAAAATCAGTTCTATTTTAGAAGAGTGGCAGAAATGTGTGTAACATTAGAAATAAGTGTGTGTGGGGGGGTAAATGTGTGCGTTTAGTCTGAAGACCCTAGATTCAGGGATCCTTTGATATAGCTGTTTAGCACTGTATGATCACAGGAATGCAGTCTCACTGAATACAAAATGGCATCTTTTACATAAAAAAGACAAAGGGTGAGAAAGATCTCTATCCCTGAGGGTTTCGCTGAACCTCTGGCCCTTCCTTTCTCACTCATCCTGGAAATCAAGAGTAAGAAATCACTACACACCTCTAAACTATAATTTTTAACCTTAATTATTAAACATTACCAGACATAGATGCCATTAGTCTTTTCCCTAAAGGACTGCAAAAGGGAAATAATTCATAGTAACTCCTTCACCCAGAAAGGGAAATTGAGTGTTCAATTTCAAGGGATGGAGATTTATTTATTATGATTATTCCTTAAGTGTTCCATTTCTCACTTCTCTTCAAACTGCTCTCATCCCTGCACATCCACCACTGTGACCAGCAGGGTAGGATTCTACCCACTCTTTAACTGACCATCACACATGGCTTTGTGTTTGTAGGAAAAGGTTGATCCTGGACCAGTCGCTTTATTTTATAGTCCCTTAATTTTACAGTCCCTTGTCAGTTGCAATTAATCTTTTCAGTTTGACAGTTCATCTTAATGGAAGGAAATGAACTATTGTCATGGAAGCAATAACACCAAATTGAAGAGAGTGTATCATCAGAATGTTTTTTTCTATCAAGATCTTTTTATTTTAAGGCATATGATTTTGAATCAATAGATATGTTGATATAAGTCTGTGCGATTTTTTCAAATGTAATAGTACATTAGTAGCTAAGGTTCCTTTTAACCCCTTGTGAAATTTAATTGATTACCTTCTAACCTTTATTTCTTTACCCGCCAGCTTTATTTCCACTGACATCTTTATCTCTATTATCATTTAATCTTTGCTACATGTGATTTTTTATTCTTTTAAGAGCTGTACATAATTACTTACTGAAGAAAACAGTCTATTGTCATTTTTCACAGACAAGTAATTTATTAACCCCTTTTAGCAGTTTTTTAAAAAGGAGCAAAAATAGGAAGAGAAAGAAAAAATGGGTAAGAAACTAATTGTAATCAATCTTAAAGGAACAAACCAATGCTTGTTAAAACATCCGATCTTTATAACATAAAATATACTCTTTTGCCCCAGAGTAAGCTGTTTCATGATAAATGTAGACAATAATTCAACCAGTAATAATGCCAGAATGAGTTTACTGCACCACCACATGAGTCTAGATCTGTGTTCAGATCAAATTAAACTGGTTGCTGGATAGCGACAGCCATGTACTTGAGAGGTTGGCAGTAATGGTTATTTTTCATGTAGCTCCCCATTTTTCCAACTTATGTAGTGGTACTGATTTTTATAGTCTGTTTTAAAACTGTATGTGCCTGTAAATGAATTTACATAAATGCAGGGGTTAATTTTTTTCTTTTAAATGGAATTTAGTAACTAAATTTACTCACCCTTTATTTATTTATTTTTGTTTTCATTTCAGTTATTAAAAAAGAAAGGATCTTCTACATTTCTACAAAGACTAGAAAGAGGAGGTCCGCTGACGATTGCTTCGCAACTCAGGGTTAGTGTTGTTTTCAGATTTTGAAACTTAAATTTTGATTATACCAACTGTTGAGGGTTTACATAGAATTTTCTCCATTTTTGACCCCTGAGTACTTTCAGAAAAAGTAAACACACACACACACGCGCGCGCGCGTGCGTGCACGTGCACATACACACACACACAGAGTGAGTGAATGCATAATCAATTTAAAAAGTAATGGATTGAAGCTAAAGATTTTTATTTAAAAACTGCTTTATATTTTCAGTCAGTGTCTTTTTTGGAAAATCAGTTTGGTTTTACTTCTCTCCTTAGAAATCTCTAACGGATATTATTGGAAAACTTCAGAAGTGCTCTCCACACTTTATTCATTGCATCAAGCCCAATAACTCAAAGCTGCCAGATACTTTTGATAATTTTTATGTGTCTGCTCAGCTACAATATATTGGGGTGCTGGAAATGGTGAAGATCATTCGATATGGATACCCTGTTCGCCTTTCCTTCTCAGATTTCCTGTCAAGGTAAATTCTGTTCTTAAAACATTGCTTCCACTGCTCAGTGTAGCATACTGACGATACTGTAGCAAGCATCTTCTGATTTTTTTTCTTTTCTCTAGCATTGCTTTTATTGTTTATATTCTTCTGTCTTATGCAAACAAAATTTCACTCTGGGAAACAGTGAAATGCATTGACAAAACTAATGAAACAGTTACTAAATTTTGATAACTTGGAAATCATTTTCACATTCTCTTAAATTTGTGGATTTTCTTGGATTTACACATTTATAAAATTGTTGCATATAATGTTTGCATGAAAGTTATTATTTAAAAGAGGAACATATCTATATGATTATTTTCTCCTTTATGTCTACAAACAAAAAAAATTTTTTTTAAGTTAGAGGTTAACAAACTACTCATGGCCAAATCCATCCTACCACCTATTTTGTAAATGAATTTTCATTGGAACACAGCCAATGGTGAAAAGAATGAGAATGTCTGTTTTTAGGGAATCAAAAAATTAAAGAGGGTGGACAAAAATAAAATCAGGATCTATCTTTTAATTATATATTTGAAAAATGAAGTTTTAAAATAATATTGCTATAAAATAGTAATATTGATGTAACAAGAATAAAATCTAGCATTTATGGTTAAAAATTAGCTGTACAACTATAGTGTGAAAAAATCTTTTTGACAGACCATTCATTTAAGAAAAGAGATTTTGACTTTCTCTTACCAGAAGTTCAATTTGAGCCACTAGTGTGAAGCTGCTAAACTAAAATAAAACAAACCAAAAATTTTAAATTAATTAGTTGGAAATGTTTAGTTCAGAGCAAAGGGCATAATATTTATGACTAAAATTCTATGTTCAATTTTTTTTAACACATGTTTTTCCAGAAGAAGTAGCTTTTCTTTATTGTGTATTTTGGTAAATTTCACAAAAACATAAAGAAGAAAATAAAAATCATGCATTTTCTTGAGCAGTCTGTTTTAGAAAGACTGATAAAATATCTTCAAAAGAGAAGATAAAATCAGCCACATGTCAAGGTAAATTATTTGAGGAATGAGTATGTTTAACTTGAAGAATATATATTTCAGAATGACATAATATTTGTGTTTTAAAACTTAAAAGATGTTTATGAACAAGGTAATAGACACATTGTCTCCTATTTATAGGGAAGAACTGTAATGTATTTTCCATACATAGTAGTTTGGGCACTAAAAGTCATCCCTCCCACTCGTGTTAAGTACAAGTAGTCTCTGAATTAATGAATTTAAAACCTGCCTCTATACAAGTTTAAAATAATAGATCCCAAATACATCCCAGACCTTCTGAATGACAATCAGTAGGGAATGAGTTACAAAGACCCCCTGGTTTGTCTTGTGGTTTGGGTTAAGGTGACATCTACTAGTCTCAGAGGATGACAGGCCTTAATAAATTGTAGTTTGGTCATCAGTAGTGACTCCTTTCCTAAGCATTGCCAAGAACGGTGGTTTTCTAATATTATTCCGTATCAGAATCACTGTAGGCTTGTTAAAATACAGATTCCAGTGCCGCCCTCCCAGAATTTCTAACTCAATAGGTCTAGGTGAGGCCAGTTAATTAGCATTTCTAATGAGTTCCCAGGTAGGTGATGTTCACATTGCTGATATGTGGACAACCCTTTGAGAACCACTGGCCTTGAATACCTAGTCACTTGGGCACAATGTCTTTGTTTTGTTTTATTTTGTTTTTCCCCAGCCAAGGGTTGAAAGTATGTGAATGCCTTGACGATCAAAGTAAATTTGTTGAGAAAGCAAAATTTCAGTCATTTATTGAACTGCTGAATTAAAAAATGCAAATTTGTCGAGATTCCCAAGTGATCTGTATGCACTTGGAGTTTAAGAAGCACCGTTAATGGATTCTTATATTGAATATAAAATAAGATTAATCTCACCCTATGAATGATTTTTTAAGTGCATTTTTAATGCATTTTCTTCCATTTTTAAATTTCGTTAGAGTGTCCTGGAATCATGGAATCAAAGAAGCTTTGTGTTAATTCTTAGTGTTTCACTAGTGTAATCTTTGGTAGCTGCATGAATCTTCCTGACCTCTACTCTAACAAGCAGTTATTTGAATTGCCTTATCCTTCAAGAAAAAGGTGGAGAATGTGTGTGTGTGTATGTGTGTGTGTGTGTGAAATGTTATATATCATAATGATTAGAAAATTCTTATTATCTTTTTATTTTCTTCAAATCCAGTTTAACATATCTACTCTACCTTGACTTATCTCGACTAAAATAGTATATACAATTACTATTTTTTAAAATTAAGTATAGTTTTTCATGTGTATGCATATTTTGCTATACTATGACTTCTAGACAGGGATCATCTCTTTTTCAGTCACAGTCCTTGTGCATTATAGGCGTTTAATTGATGTTTTTAGAATAAACCTAGCATTGTAAATGAATGATTATTCAATTTTCAGTAATGTTTCTGCATAACAGACCAGAGCCATACTTTATTTGTTTAAAAGAGTAATGGAGGTGGTGATTGATACTTTTTGGTAAATGTTTGCATTCCTTTCACCCGCCTCTTATTTAAAGGAAATTTCTACTTATCACCCTTATTTGCAATGACATAGCAATAGAAATAAAATTATTAATTTATTTCAATAGAAATTTGTCATTTTAACTCTCTTAAATTAAGGATACCAGTCTGGAATATTATCACAAAAATGCTGATCCATAGAGAGATCATCACTTTCTATAGAGCTTGAATAAAACACAATCCACATGCTGTCACATCAAGAAATAACAATTTAATATTTATTCAGAAAGCTCATCAGAACTTTGAAATCCACCCCCAGGCAATCAAGCATTATATAAACAAAGCCTAAAGGTGCAATTTAATAGAAAATTTAGATTGCCAAAATATCAGATAACAGAATGTATTGTTCCTATGTAAAATATTTATTTCTATTCATACCACCTTGTCTTAACTGTTAGAGAATAAAGTCCTGTCAAAACAAATGACTTTGTTTGGTATATGAAAAAATAATGTGGTTACAAGAAAAACTGGACAAATAGGAAAAAGATATTCAGTTTCGAAGCAAGCACCTTCTTATCTGAACAGCATTTATTGTTTGTGAAATCCAACATGATGATAAATGTGGATAATGAACATGGCCATGGAATCTGTAAGCAGACGTGATGACATTGCAAATTTGCTCCCTGGTATCCTGGCTTTAATAACTTCATCATTCTGAGTCTTCCTAATTGAAACTAGAGACTTGTGTTAGTTGAGAGGATCTTGTTTTGAGTAAGTGTAGAAGTATGCTTGTTGAATTTTTTCTGATAGCATCAATAGCTTCCAAGAGGGATGATAAAGATGTAAGGTTCTGTCTCTCGTGGCAAGAGACTTCACAAGTTTGGATATATGAAGAACGAGGGAAGGAGCAGCAGAACTAAATTATTATTTAAAAATCATGATAACATAATAGGATTACCTATTGCTATGGACTGAATTGTGCCCCCTCATTTATATGTTGAAGCCCTAACTTCCAATGTGACTGTATTAGGAGATGGCACCTATAAGGAGGTAATTAATGTTAAATGACGTCATAAAAATGGGGTCTTGATCCAATAGGATTAATGTCCTTATAAGAAGAGACACCATAGAATGCATTTTCTTTCTCCCTTAGATGAGGGTGTAATGAGAAAGCAGCTGTTTGCAAGCTAGGCAGAGAGCCCCCAGTAGAAACTAAATAGCTAGCACCTTGACCTTGGACTTACCAGCCTCTAGAACTGTGAGAAAGGAAATTCTGTTATTTAAGCCACCCAGGCTATGGTGTTTTGTTAGGACAGCCTGAGCTGGCTAAGATAACTGTGTTTGTAGGTATGTGGTTATATGGTGTTAATAGATAGCAAAGCTGGACAAGTTATGCTGTAAAGTTTTCGGTACTTTATTTATGCTGATACTCATGTGCTAATGGAAGAAAATATAGTTTACCTGTATATGTCATGTGGTTTCAGAAACTATGTTTTGTTCATGCAATCGTATCATCCTTTCTACCTTTTTCTCCATTTACTCTATGACATTTACTTGATATTCAAGATTCACCCATGCATCCTCTTCTTTGGAAAATCTTTCATAAAATCTTCAATTGGTTTGTGTACTCTCTAAGCTTCAAAAAGGCCTTGCGAAACACACGTATGTTCATTAGATCACACTGGAAGTATCTATTTATGTGCCAATCTCAACCACTAGACCAGAGGTTAACAAACAATAGCCCACAGGCCACTCTGGCCTGCCACCTACTTTTGTATGACCTGAGAGCTAAAAGTGTTTTGTTTTGATTTTTTACATTTTTAAATTGTCACAGGATATCCTCAATTTTACCTCTTGGTGTACAATGCCTAAAATATTTATGCTCTGGTCCTTTACAGAAAAAATAGCTACCTCTGCACTAGACCATAGGCTCCTTGGATGAGTGACATCCCTTATTATTAAATGTCTAGCCTCTAGCAGAGCATCTGAATCCATACTCTGTGAAATAAACAGAAAAGATCTAATATATTCTTCCTTCTCAATGACTTTCTTTAATGTTGGTTAGATGCTTAAGTTTGTGGGATTTTTCTGATGGCGTTATAAAGACAACTTTCACCAATATGTTCTGTAGAACAAGAAATCTCAAGTCAGTGACTTGCAACAGCAAAGATTTATTTATCTCTTATATTACATTTGATTGTGGTTTAGAGGTAGCACACGTAAGCTGAAATTAGCTCTGTGCTGGGGCTATTTTTCACGATAAGCCCAGGGCGAAGGGATAGCCCAGATCTAGAACATGACCTTTCTATGAAAGAGGGAAAAGAGAAATGGATGAATGGCTTTTATGACTTCTGCTGAGCTGTGGCCTATGGCACCCCCTTATATCCATAGGTAAAGGCAGTTACTTGGCCAAGGAGAATATCAATAAAGTGGAGGATTGTCCTAATAATGGGAGGTACTACAAAATACCTAACAAAGAGTGGAAATGTGTATAC